TATGCAAGTTCACAAATGAATTAAGCAGGATTCCACAGTCTAGCTCCAGCTCTGTTGGAATTCAGCCATTACTTTTGCTGACTTTAACAGAAGCTAAATACAGACCAAGCAAGCTACAGCTAATGTTGTTCAGCTTTAGTTGCCATTTGGGGAGCAGCAGTGGTACCCTACAACTGCAGTTAACAGTGACACAGAGACGCTCTGTGTCTTGCTACCCAACCTCAGACAGCCAAGTGAGCTCAGAGATCTCCCAGAACCCTCCTCCGTGTTCGAGTCAAAGAAATTTCTGCTATGCAAAAATGAGATGGGAAGAAAGTCTGTGGCAGCATCAGACAGGATGCCCTGAAGCCCAAACAAGCTCATCCGTGTAGTTATCTCAGCAGGTAGATCCCGGGTTAACATTCCCAGCAACAAATCCAAAGTGACTTCCCTGCCGTGACTGAGTGAGATTGCAGCTGCAGAACCAGGCCCCAGGAGCAACAGCACCTACAGCCTGGAGTCCAGGCAAAGAAATGATGCTCACCCCTGACTCTCCCCCCATAAAGCAGCAGAGAGTCAAGGCCAGCAGCAGTTTAAGAACCAGACGACTGCCAGTATGTCTTTCCCCCCCTGGAAACACATTGGCCTCTCCCCCTTCTCCACTATTTATGTTACATGAACTGCCTTCTATTCAGGAGGAGCTGTTCTCTATTAACAGAGCTTGGCAAAGATCAGCAATTAACTGTGCCAACTTTCAAGCCTGCTGCCTTAAGGCAGATGGCAGGGAAAGTATCCCAGCCTTGTTCCCCAAACCTCTTCTCCCAGCAAGCAGAGATAACTCAAAAACAGGAAAAAAGGGTCAGGCATCTGTGAAGCCCTAATTTCAGTGCAGGAGACAGCCTGTGTGTGGGGTGCTCTGCTCTGCCATGGCTGTGCTTGTCACCCCACGGGCAAGCAAAGCCTGTGGTACCATCAGGATCTATGGGCTCAGAGCAAGGGCACAGGTTTCACTGGAATTCTTATACTTCCAGAGTTACAAGAAGAAAGAGGAGATGCTCTGCCTCCCTCCAAGATGCTGCTATCATGAAAGAAAATCAGCACTGCTAATGACTGGTGCTGAACTGTACCTTTATGGGAAAGTAAATCCCTCTGGAGCAGCTGGAAGGACAGGATTCCCAGTTACTGCAGAGCAGCAGCAAAAAGCAAGAGCTGTGGTTGCAGAGCATCCTCTGCTTCCCACCAGCAGAAGACAGCTGCTCTGCCATCCCCACCCCATGAAGGTGGATCACACTCAGGCACTGGCAGGAACAGGCACAGCTGGACTCCTGAGCTGTGAAGGGCTGAGTGTCCAGTTCTGGTGGAATCCATATCACAGGCAGTCGTCTTGTTCTTGCAGAATAAGGCACCATCCCCAGCTCTGAGCAACCCAAATCAAGCCTTTGAATCTTGCTTTGCCAACCTTTCTGTGTCTGTATTTCCTCCCGTTGGTGGTGTGGCACTCCAGTTATTAATATTTTCTGGTTTTCAATACTACGAAAGCATGACTCGATAGCAGCGCTGAGACCTCAGAAAGCTTCCCCCAGGTGCTGCAGAGGATGGTTAACGACAGTATGACAGGCAAGAGGGTCATAAATAATATTCTGCTGGGTGCTAATTCAGGCAGTTGTTGTAGCTCACTGCCATCAATGGGACAATTTACAAACTCACACATGGTTAAGCGTTGCTGAAACATATCCTGGACTGGGGTCAATGGAAAGTGTCTTGCTGACTTCACCTAGAGCTGGATTAAGCACTTAACTCTTACATTGTCTCCTCCATATTACTGAATTATTCATTAAGGGCCAGACACTGCAATCCATACTCGCACTGCACTTAATCTGTCCTTTAAATTGACTTGCATTAGTCTGAGTCACAGGCACCACAGCACCTTCCTCCTTAACAGTCTCACTGAATGCAGCAGAGCTATTCATGAAATAAGGTGCTGCTCTGCAAGGAGGCAGATCCAGCTCTCAGCAAAGGCATCAGTAAGGAGAGAATTGAGAGAAAATTCACCCTGGTAAAGCTGCGTCAAGATGTCTGAACTCAAGTAAATCTGTGTGAAATCAATCATTTAAAGAGAGAACCTGTTCTGTGGTATCGGAGGGGAGAGACTAAGGGAGTCCTAGAAACTAATATTTCATTGTTCAACTTCATCACAAGGTCTGGAAACACATTCCACTGCCCCTGGCCACACATTCACAGAGCCTTGTGAGGGCTCCTGTGTCCCTCCAGAGAGAAACAGTGAGGTGTGTGGAAAGGAAGAAGGCAAAGGATTTGTTCTGCTCCTCCTGACTGGCACAAAAGGAATAAAAAGTGAACAGGACTGCTGCCACCAAGGAGGTAACAAGTACCCACACTTACCAGCAACTCCCTCCTCTGCCAAGCTCACAGCTCCCACTAACCAAGCTCCCAGACCACACTACTGGCTCTGATGCTGAAATCCCCTCAGGCTGCTCAAACAGCAGATAAACTCTCATCACAGCAGAGCCGATTAACTGTGCCTTTCACCACTGAGCCCAAAACCTATAGTCTGATACCTCTGTACAAACAATGGATCAGGAAATAAATAAGCCAAAGGTAAGCAAAGGGAGAAATCTTGTGCACTACATTGAGAAATATAAGGGGGTTTGATTTTTTAAAAAGGAATTTATCTGTTCAGTTCTCATTTATGTCAGTTCTTGATAAGATTAGAGGATTAAACCAACTGTATGCTAAATGCTCTGTGCTGGAGAGAGTCCTGCTGGGATTTACTGCATGTTGGCATGTACAGAGACCACACAGCATCACCCAGAGACCCTGGGACTCGCAGAAGGACCCGTTCAAACTTCTGAAATAAAAATCACAGCTTATCCAGACTTTCCATATGCCGCCAGGGTACGAACTCCTATCCCTCTCCAGTTTCACTCAAGCTTGCTTATTAAGTACTTGTACCCAACAGGCAAGTCTTTGTATAAGCAGCACTTATCTCGGAGCACTGGCATCACAAGAGGATTTCGGATGTGCTGTGGCTTTTTGGATGCAAAATGTTAACACCGTGTGCATCCCTCCCCCAGTGCCAAACCGAAGCACAGACATCCTGTCACCCTCCTGCTGTTACATGCACACACACCACAGCTACCCCCATAAACTCCTGCACAACACAGCTTGTTAAAAACACAATTGACAGTTTTTTACAGGAGTCAAAGTTCTCCTGTAACTAAATCGCTTCTTCTATTGGCCTGACAAACACATTTGTGATGTTTAGTTCGTTAATTCTGAAAAAGCACAAGATCTTGGGAGGTGCAGCCAAGGACAGAATTGAGAGAATTTTTAGCACCTAGCAAACACATTCTCCCCAAACATCTGAAAACTAACAGCAATTTCACCGGTGTGAACTCCCTCATTTCTGTGCCCCAAATTATGGTCAGATATTTTCACCTTGGCTCCCTACCAGTGCCCTATTCTGTGGTAAGGAGACCACGCACCACAAGGGTGTTTGTCAATATAGCTAAGAACACCAGACTATAGCCAGTGAGAGAAATCTAGCTAGACTATCAGTGACTTCAGCTGGTGTTTGGGGTTGTGGTTTGGGTTTTTTCCTACCCCTGAAGAGGAATTTGCCCTGAACGTTGCAGAAACTGAATCACGATCTTCGCCACTGTGGGCTGATCTGATGCTACTTCCCAAATGCCAATCTGGCTCTCACATATTACACTGTTACACATTGCTCTGGGCCATTTGTCCCCTTCCCCTTGTGCCTCGAGGTGAAACGGTCACAAATGCTGATGGGTAGTTTCCCCTTGAATCATTTCCCTATCAGACAAGCCTTCTCCTTCCATAGAGGAGTATCTTCCCTGTGGGAATACAGCAGGTATTCATAAGGGCAGCAGGAAGAAAAGAGGAATGGATCTTTTATCATATTAAGCATTTCCATTCCATCTTTATTGTCTTTTCCGTAGCTCAGGTCTGTTTTATTCCAGGCTTAGGGAATCACACTATAAGGCTCCAAGGGGTAAAGAGGCTGTCTTGATGAGTCTAACCTCTGAAGATGCATACAGGATGATAAAAGAAGTGTAGCTATTGAAACATCTCCCTTCAATACAGTTATTGTGTTGCTAGGTTTCCATCTAGACACACAGCCTAAAAGAGCAATCAAAGGAAGCTGATGCTGTGGATAATATCTTTATCAACACTTCACAAGGTTGCTGGGGAGGAAGAGGGGAAAAATATTGTCCCCGAGCAAAGTTGTTCTGATGAGAATAGACAGCTAGTTTCAAAAGCTCACCCAAATTTTCATGGGAAAATTGTTTTTTAAAAAAACTGAGCTCTTAGGGTAGTAGATTTTATGTGTATCAGCATGTGGTTTTGTGAGCAAGAAGTCTGTGTGTTTATTCTGTCATTTGAATTGTAAAAGTACTTCTCTTTCAACACACAAGTCCTCACCCCACTTAACTAAAGCCTGTCTTGCAGCAGCAGACGAGGGCATGCATCAGCCTTGTTTTAGAGGAACTTATTTGTTGCATATTACATTAAATCCCAACAGACTCTGCACTGCTGTCAAAATACCATCCTAATAATTGCATGAGGGAAGGTTGCTAACCAGCACACTGCTATGCCTGTGCACAAAACAAAGGTTCAAGTGACACAGGATGCAGCAGCGAGGCAGATCCCCGAGGGACCGGCCACCTCCAGCTCACTGCGCCTGTCCCAAAGTTTTTCAGTTATACTCAGCTTCTGCCCTCTCAAGTGCTTTTAAACACCCGGGCAGTAGCAACCAGCCCCACACTCTTTTGGTTTCGTCATCTCATCACCAAATCGGAAAGAACAGAAAAGAGTTCATTTTCTCCAGGAGTCCTTGGAGACCACCTGGAACAGCGAGGGCCCAGGGCCAGGCTGCACTCGGGACTGTTGCTAAGCAATGTAATGTCCTTATTAAGTAGCATGAGGTTTTTAGCCAGGAAAAGTCCATTTCTACACAAGCCAGTATAAAACAGGAAGGTTACCTTACGTGTGCCAGGTATGCTCTTTACAGCTTTTGGACCAGCACCGGACACCAGCTGCTGTCATAGACGAGGATCCCTCCTGGCTGGACCTGCTGCCATCCCTGAGCGTGGCGAGTGCTCCGCTGGCTCTGCTCCTCCTCAGGGAGGCCGGCCAAGCCTCCGTGGAGCCGGGGACACAAAGCTGCTCAGTTCTGGCGCCCAACTTTTCCCCCAGGAGAACAGCCCTGCTGCAGGCGCAGCTCAATCAGCTCATTATAGAGGCAGCCTCCCGAGAAACGCTCTCCCTGTGCATATTCATGAACTCTCCAGAGCTTCCAGGGAGAGTTGGCTAAACACACAACTGAGGGATTTAGCTGTTGGATTCCCAGGAAAAAAAAAAAGGGGGGGGGGGGGGGGGAAAGGGAAAGAGGGGCGAGGAAGGAGCAGAGGGCTTAAAAAAAAAAAAGTGACTAGCGGAGCGACTGCAGCGGTGCTGCCCTAAGCACCGCGGGACCCGGGAGCCCGACCGACCCCCGCGTCACCCCCCGGGCAGAGCCGAGCGCTGAGGGCCGGTGGCGGGCACCGAGGAGACGGTGTCACGGGAGGCGGCTGTGCCCACAGACCCCCAAAACAACAACCCCCTTCCACCCCGGGGCCGCGGAGCGCATCACTCACCTC